CTTTTAGTTTAGGAAGTTTTTCCATCCGAGGTCGTTTACAAAATTTGAATTTTAAAATTTTGAAATTCAAATGCAGTTTTGCATGACAAGATGATTTCAAATAAAAAAGTTACCAACTACAATGTTTCATAACTTTTTGAGATCTACAAAGTTTATTTTGGTTGTTTTTTCATCCGATGTCGTTTGAAAAGTTTGAATTTTAAAATTTTAAAATTCAAACACAGTTTTGCATGACAAGATGATTTCAAATCAAAAAGTTGCCAAGTACAATGTTTCATAACTTTTCGAGATCTACAAAGTTTATTTTGGTTGTTTTTCCATCCAAGGTCGTTTGAAAAGTTCGAATTTTAAAATTTTGAAATTTAAACACAGTTTTGCATGACAAGATGATTTCAAATAAAAAAAGTTGCCAATTACAAAGTTTCATAACTTTTCGAGATCTACAAAGTTTATTTTGGTTGTTTGGTCATCTGTTCATCCGACATGGTTGTTCTAACATTGTTCACAAATCTTATATATCTCTCTTGTAGTTTCATAAACTACCAAAGAGAGATGTTATATTTGTGAACATATTTACTTTCACTTTTTCATATGAAGAAAAGACCAAAACAAACTTTGTACATCTTGATGAGTTATACAACTTTGTAGTTGAAAACTTTTTCATTTGAATTAATTTACTGCTTCAAAATGTGTTTTGAAATTTTCTTTGCCGAGTGTAAAAAAAACACTCGGTAAACAAGCTTGTTTGCCGAGTGTAAAAAAAACACTCGGCAAAGAGCTTGTTTGCCGAGGGTAAAAAAAACACTCGGCAAAGAGCTTGTTTGCCGAGTGTCAAAAAAAACACTCGGCAAAAACGTCTTTACCAAGTGCCCAAAAAAACAACACTCGGTAAACCACTCGACACTCAACGAAGAGCCGGTCTCCGGTAGTGGCGGCCCGGGCCTGCAACCCTGTCCATCGTCGTGCAGTCCGTTCCGTACGCAAATTCTTGCTGGACTGCTGATTCGCACGAAACTTGAGAAGGTTCTCTCTGTCCAGAAACGTGCAGTCCGTATTCAACTTGTCTCTGTTCATTCGGAACAATGTAAGCTCACGAAACATGAGAAAAATCTCTGATTTCCTTTTGATCTGTCGATGCAAGCACACTACCCCACGGTGTATGTAAGAAAAATTCCAAATATAGTATATAATTCTTCTATCGAGAATGCATTTTCATGTCTGGATACTCAAATAACTCAAGTAATGTATGTGTATGTATGATATATTTCTTGTAAGTACCAAAAACAAATCAAAATTAATGTGATATATATATATATAACATGGCAAATGGCTCATGGAATTTTTCTGGTCATTTCACTAGCAGATAACAGACCTTTCATCCGAGGTTAAAATGGGCTCTAGTCCCGGTATTTTTTGCGCCCGGGACTAGAGAGACCTTTAGTCCCGTTGGTGTCCATCGTCGTGGGACTAAAGGTCCCCAAATTCTTGCTGCTACTGCTGCTTCGCACGAAACTTGAGGACCTTTAGTCTCTCTTGGAGACACCAACCCGTATTAAACTTGAACCTTTTCTCGAACAATTGAAGCCACCAACCGGGACTAAAAGTCCTCCAACCTTTAGTCCCGGTTGGTAACACCAACCGGTAACACTAACCGGGACTAAAGGTCCTCCGATGGGTTAGTTCAAAAGGGAAGCATCCCATCCATTGTTAGATGTGTTGTGTAGGTGGGGTGGTAAGCTACGCGTGAGACAATGCATGAGGTCTTGGGTTCGAATCTTACGGAACGCAGTGGTGAGAGGCATTATTTTTTTTAAAGCTAGGAGGACATTTAGTTCCGGTTGGTGTTATCCACCGGGACTAAATGTCCCCCTGACCCGGGACTAAAGGACCCCCCTTTAGTCCCGGATGCTTGCTCCCGGGTGGGGAACCGAGACTAGAGGGGGTTCTTCACCGGGAGTAAAGCCCGTCCCTCCACTAGTGTTTGTTGCATCGGTAATATATACTCCATCCATCACAAAAAGAGTGTCGCTTTGGGGTTCATGCTGGTTAAACTTTTTCAAGTTTAACCTATTAGTAACATTTATATATCTTCAAATAAGTTTATTATGAAAATACTCAGCGATTTATCTAATGATACTAATTATACACCATAATTGTTAATATTTTTCATATATATTTGGTCAAAGCTAAAAATATTTGACTTCTCGAAAAGTGAGAATGACACTTTTATGAGATAGAGGGGGTATAAGACTTCCTTCTCGATAAAATAAACAAGGTACTAACACCAGTAGAGAACATGCAATTACCGCAGGGTCTAAATCCAGCATCACTATCTGAATTGAATCCAGCATGCGTGAGGGAAGAAATAAGAAAACAGATGAACCAAATTCACTCTATCTAATCATTTCCTCAAGTCTTCCTCTATTTTCCCCGTTCATCAATTGCTATTGCTACTGCTTCGTTGCTTACACCGCCGCAGCTGATATGCCAGCTCTATGATCTCACACAAATTTCTCCCTCAAACATTACTAGATGCAGGGATTCGTTTTGTTTGTTCTTACTCCTGCGGATGCTAGGATGAGCTGTAAACATGTGCAAGCGGATGTGGAGATAGATGAAGTGTACTCACAAGTGACGCTAGAGCCGCCAAACCCAGCAAGGCAACAGGGATTGATGGCTTGTGGTTTGAGGTGTCGTGTTTCTGTCGGTTTTGTTAGAGTTCTCACAGTGAACGTTACCCAGCCATCTCTATAAATCCATTAACAAAGACAGACGTCTTAACTCGATTGCTTCGGTTAATGGACTATCAACAGAGTGGGCTTTGTAAATGATTAACATATGCATAGGCTGGTTTTCGCTTGGGCTTGCCTCTTCATTTCAAGAGGTGGCACCCAAAAATTCCCGCCTCTATTAATGAGCTTCTCCGAAAATCTGAGTAGGAAAATCCTTTTTAGTAGTGCTAGGACAACTCTAGAATTTGTTTTTGAATTGCAACTTTGCAAGAGATAAATATACTGGCGTCATTTATTTCTAGAGGTGGAACACCTGGAGCCTGTTTGGTTACAGGCCACTGCTGGCCACGCCGAAGGTTGGGGCAAGTTGCGACGTGCCGCACTTGGCAGCAGCAAATTTTAGCGCCAGACTTTGTGGCAGCTTTTCTACTACGATTTTATGTGGCAGCCTTAGTTGTGTAACCAAATAGATGTTCCTGATTTTTATGGCCAGTCACAGCTCTGGTGTGGCGACATATGGTGAGCAACTAAACGCGCTCTTGTTCTTGAATTGCAACTTTGCAAGAGATTGTTAGGGATGGATCAACATTGTGATACCATCAAACTGCACAACTGAGGAAGCTCTTAATCCATTAAAAGACCAGCTTGGCTCTCCTTCCTTTATGAATACAGTAATCTTCCTGTGCTGGACAATTTGGACGACAAAAAATGGTCTAATCTTCAACAACTTGCCTGCTAATGTCCAGAACTGTAACGAGGTTTCTCAAGAGAGTTGTCTCTGTTGATTCACGGAGCAAAGAAAGCAAGCTCATCTTTGTTTGAATCACGCATGGATTCAGACCTTTTTGTAATCTTTCTTTCTACTCTTATTTTCTTTCTTTCTTTCTTTCTTTTTTCCCATCTCAAAAGAATGATGCTAATTATGGATTTGGTTTATTCCAAAATATAACATTATTTTTTTAATGTCATGCAGGACGCACATTTTCCTTTAAAAATTATTTAGTCAAACTTTAAAAAAGTACTCCCTCCATTACAAATTATAAGACATTTTGACTTTTTTAATACATAGTTTTTACTATACACTTAAATATCCACTATATCTAGATATATAGTAAAAGCATAGAAAAAAACAAAATGTATTATAATTTAAAACGGAGAGAGTATGTCTTAAATGCTAGCAATCAAATTTTAGCAGCATAATATATGAAGGAGGTTATATTTTTTATAAAAGAAAATGATCCTAATAATGGATTTTATGTTCTTACAACACTTAGCGAAAATGTGCGGTTCCTGGTCAGCTAGTTTCCTTGTGACTGATTCTTCTGGGATCGCCGGGGGCGAGGGATACATGTGAATTGTGCCAATGTCAGTTTGGTTGGATTTGTGTCACAATGTCAGTTTGGTCGCACGTTGTTTGGTCTTGGCCCTCACCATACAACTGCCACCGGTACGGTTCGTCGCGAGGAGGTGCATCAGCTAGAGAGCAATTTAGTTTCCTTGGGGAAAAAATCATGAGAAGCTTGAATATTTCCTTTAGTAGATCGTAGAGTATTTACGATCTACAAAAGGTTACAACACATTCTTCTCATCCTTGGGGAAAAATCATGAGAAGCTTGAATATATAACCTTTTGTAGATGGTAGAGTATCTACGATCTACAAAAGGTTCACATTCTTCTCATGAAATTCAAGACTATCCGTGAACAGAGGGAGGGTGACTATACACATTCATTGAACTTTTGGATGCCGCCACAACACTGCAACACTTTAACAAAAATGTGGCCTTGTTCGACACATTCTGGAACAAAACTTTGACAATGAAGAAATTAAAACCAAACCACCTATTTCTGTTGGTACATCTATAAGTCGCAAAGGAGACAAGACTATATACATGGTATGTACGGACACTAAAAACCAATGTCAGATTGCCTATGTAAGCTTCCGTTGGTGATCCTCTCAGTGTCATTGGAGGAAATCAGACAGACACCAGGCCATGCTCATATGTAGCAAAATGAAGCTCAGCGCAGAGCACACAGAAGCCGCCTTCTTTCTACCAATGCCAGGGAAACCGACGGAACAAATGACTCCGATGAAGCCGGCCACCTCACCAGCAGCACTAAGCCACCACTTTTATTTACCTTGCAGTTCCATCCACCAGCGATGGCCAACCGCAGTTTATTGCATTTTCATCAACAAATTTTACTGGTTAATGAGGGGAGGAAATCCAGTACTAGATTATACAAGAAGATGGCTTCTGACCAGATGGCCTGCTACAACACAGGACCAACAAGCTTCAGCTTTTCAGCTATGTATGCCTTTATATCCCTACAAGGACCACAAAACAATTGTGGGTGAGCTAACGCGTGAAAGAGGGCCTATCAAGCAATGCAGACGGGTTTCAAGAGAGAAGCGCTGAATAGTTCAGATGAGCCATGGTTTTACCTGCATCTAGGAACGGGACAGTCTACATCGTTGCAATCTTTTGAGTGGCAGAGAAGAAGTTTCCACATAAAGACACACTTATTGCAACCACTCCAGTTGCGGGCACGGATATCACATCGTACACCATGGAAGAACAATTTCTTCAGGGTTAAACAACCTGGATGGGTGCAGTTACGTGGATCATAGCACCTCGATGCATGCACAAGGCCATCAATGTAATCCTGCTTTGGAAACATGCACAAGATTCATTAGAACACAGAATTATCATGTATGGAAGCCAAGAGCTATGGAATCAGATCTCATTTATGTGAACATAAGCAATTAACAGAAAGATGAACACCTTCACACTATAGAATATGCAACTGCAAATTTCACATATAACTTCTTAAAGAAAAAATCATTTGAGCAAGTTTTGTTTCTAAGAATGATGGTGCGATCCACATGAGATCTGCCACCGATGCCCCAAAATGTTATGAAAAGAACACCAAAACAAAAGAATGCCAGAAGCCGCTGCAGAAATAAAAACTTCACAACAAGATATTTAGAAGGTCCAGTTGCTAATTTGAAATGGGTACCTGTAGAGTGTGCTTCTGCAAAGTTTCACTAGTGTGAATCTGCCTTAATTCATGACTATGCAAACTTTGACCATTTTGTTTATAGCATTGATCACAAAAGGTGCAGCCCAGGCACTCTAGGCACCGCCACACCAAGCATTGATCCACAGCACGATGGCAAGCAGAGCAGGTCGAATTGTGTAGATAATACAGAATCATCATTGTAGAGTGCTTTGCCCGCCGGAGGGTATCAAACTGGAATTGATTGTCTTGGCAGTGCTTCAAGAAATCGATCCTGCTGTCAAAATACTTACTTTCCATTGTCGGATCTCCATCATCAGTCTCCGGAAGAGGTTCTACCTCCATCTGTCGGACAGTTAGCCACTATGGTTAGTATATTGATCCATCATGCATCTATTGAATATAAGCAAGTTGTCAACTTATTTGGATGAAAAAAAAATCAAGCCAAGAAATGAAATTTGCCTACATACTCTTTGAAATGCATGTTTCTGTTTTGTGGTGGCCGGATGCCTGTCCTTCTGTGCCGTATTCTGCTCCTCTGCATGACACCTATGAAAACCAACACATAATCAATAATCAAAATAATTGCTGCCTTACTGATCGAGGTTAACTGTCATGTGTGGGCAGGTGTATGCCCGGCGCAGGCGCGCCCGCGACATACGCAGGGCGGCCCAGCGCGCGTCCCAGGCGCAGAAGGCGCCTGCTGTGGCCGATCAGCCAGGTCATGGCTAGGAGGCCTTAGTTGGAAAGTTATCAGGATTAGTTCCCTTATTATTAGCATCTATTTGTTACCTTAAGATTAGGAGTTTGTTTTCCTTTTGTGGCAGCCGCAAGGCTATATATGTATGGGAACCGGACTTGAAGGAATTAAGCAAGATTATTATTCTATCTTCCATCTAATCTCAAGCCTGCGGTAGAGGGGCATAACCTCACCGGAGAAGACGGCCGAGGGCTACGAGCTTCGTAGCCGAGGCCCTGCGCGTCGAGGGTTCGACGCCCTTGACATTAACTAAGTACAAAAACTCATCTTTGGTTTTTAATTGGCAAATGAATGCAAGAAGCAGGAAGTTGACGAGGTTAACTAAGTACACAAACTCTTTTTTTCAACAAAAGGTATTTCCACTGATGTTCTGTTTTAAACAATCATGATGCCATCCTATATAGCCATCAAAGTTTTAGACAACTTTCTGAGCAGAGTAAAAAAAGACAACTGTAATTAGAAGAAATACTTACTTGTCACAAAGATGGAAATTTTTACAGCTAGTGCAAACCCAACTTTTGCCAGATACGACAGGCTGGTGACAGTGCTTGCAAAACTGTTGCAGACAAAGCATAATGAAATCTTCTTTCATGGTGCGCATCCTTTCCCCAAGCTGGCAATAATGAAAAATAAGATGATAGGTTCCCACAAAATGCTGGAAGGCAAGATCAAAAATAAAACAAACTAACCTTGTGCACAAGCAAAATATTCTCAAGGTTTCCTTTTCTGTCGTCGCGTTTGGCAACACGCAAGAGCCTTCCTACCTGTGTCTCTTTCTTCTGTGAAGTATTATCATCTTTCTTCTCAAGGAGCCTCTCTGCTTCTCCAGGCCAGAAATCATTCTCACAATATGGCAAGCATGCTGCTGAAATATTGGCCTTGCACTCATTTGTAGGCTGAAGAAAAAAGTCAGAGAGTGTATTACGCTCCACAACAACACCCTCCTTAACGGCTTTCTTGATCAAGTTCTGGTACCTAAAATTATAAATAAAACTGACAAATTAAGGCCCATATAGAATAAAAGTTTTAATTCCTCAATATCATGTTAGAAAGACAAACCAGCTTCGAAGCTTGTCAGACTTGGGCATCTTTTGTACTGTTGGATGACAATATAAAACATAATCATCACGCTTCGTAGATGGGCAAGCCCATATGGAACAGCTTACAAATCCTCGTTTCTTGCAGTAGTCCAGATAACCAATCTACAATAAGCATTGGAATGATTAGATTCTACAAACATAAACTCATTTGCGCAAGCAAAGACAAAAATATGTTTGATGATTTGGAGTTCTCATACCAAAATTTCATGATACACAAAGGTGCGAAGAGCTTCTCCACTTGCAGATTTGATTTCAGGCCGGAAATATTTGACAGAATCGATATATGCAAGATAAACATGTCTTTGATTTGGTGATGGGCAATCTGAACCGTACTCTTGTACATACATGGCAAACAGGCAAACATCCACACCTTCAATCTTTTGAAACAAGAGAATGGCCTGTATAAAACACAGAAATTAGTACAAGATAGCTATAATTATCTACTAGACATTGGCAAATGGGATATATTGGTTAATCAGTCAACCATCATGTACCTTCGATTTGTATGGAAATTCCCCAGGATACTTTTCTTGTTTAAAAAAATCACGAAAACGTGGTTGGACTTGTAGTATTCTTTCAGCTGAAGAAACTACTCTAACTGTAAGACCTTTCACACCTGGTACCTAAAATTGGAGCACAGAAGACAAGTAAATAAACTTTCCATGGAGTTGACATCAGTTTACAATGCAGTTCCTATAGACTGAAGCAAATAAAATTAGAACCAACATAGACAGTCTGACTATTCTAAGAACACGTGTGTAGTCTTATTTGAATAAGCATTAATGATCACAATATTTTTTCCCAAAATTCTAACCTTCCCAGGTTTGGATAGGATTGTAACAAGACCTGGATAGCTACATGAATTTAGTGGGTTAAAAACTACATGGACTCTTGTGTGTTGACCATCCTTTCTTGATGTCCAAAGAAATGCAATGCAAGCAAAACAGACTCAATAATACTAACAGTCAAAAAGAAAAAATGTGTAAAGCAGCCTATTTGTTATGTATAATAAACTTAATAGAATTCTGAAGCATCATCAAGCCAAATAAATGTGCATCACCAATGCCACGACAAGATACAGATTAACAACAAAACTGTGTGATTATATAAAGAAACAAATGAAATGGATTTGGAGTGCAGACGTGTTTTCGGTACTGATTACTTGGATCAACATCGAACGTTATAGTAAAAAAAGGATTAACACTTTTATGTGATCAACAAGAGAAAAAAAAGGCCCAGTAGAACACAAGGATATAGAAAATGGGAATAGGAATAAAATTTATATGGGGATTTAACATGACTAGACACTCACTAGTAGCAGGTATGAATGAGCCTTAATAATTTCTTATGTCTTTAGTGTGTATGATAAATACCTCTTCAGCAACTTTTCCAGAGGCGCTCGCCCTCTGTTGCCTGTCCTGCTCAAGCCTCTCTGAAAGCCTTTGCTCAATATGATCACTTAGCTTAGTTCTTGGTAACTCCTGTGCCCCAAGAACAGTGGATGACTCCAGTGCCTGAATATCTCCACTATCCTTTTCATTCAAAAAACATTTTGCGCAAGTATACTCAGCCTTTGCCCCTTCACACTTTCTGTTAAAAAGAGCACAGATTTCATGCTGCCAAGCTTTGCACTTGTCACACTGTACCCACTGAAAAATGCAAGCAAACAAAAGATGAGAATTTAATAGACATAAGGATAACCTGATATATGAAAAGAACATTACCCACTCAGCCTCAGCATCTGTTTCTGCATAATTAAATTTCTTCTGATATTTAGCTCTTGAACTGCTAAGATGGTGGCATTTGCTACATATAGAAGTTTTCTCACTTCCATTTTCAACTTCAACATAATAGCACCCTGCAGAATTTATAATTTTGAAACAGAGAGCACAAAATCGTGGAGGAGGTTCGAAAAGAAGCCTCTCCATCCCACACAAACTGCATGTATTCTGATCAGGCAATCCATCAATTGATGGGAATTCTTGAGGTGTCACTTTGCTCTGAAAAAAACAAGGAAATTATGTTAAAATACTAAATGATACAATTGATCCAATCTGAGTGGAAGAAAATTTATATTCTTAACCATGGATAAATCATGCACAAGATTCTGGTTTGATCTTGTAGCATCAATGTACTATGCCGTCAAGCAATAAAACAGTTATATAATAGCCATGAGTATGATTAGACAGTCATATAATAGCCATGAGTGTGATTATCATACAACTATCTGACTGATTGGCGGTATAATATGTTGGTTCTACCGGATCAAACAAAGTCACAGAAAACACAGGAGTTTGAAAGGGTTATCCACTCACCAGACAAGTATGCTGGTTTATTAGACTACTCATGTGATCTCTAAGCTCCTCAGCAGTTAATGCATAAAGTATAGAAGCCCCTCTCTTTCGACTTGAACTTAAATTGACCCCTCTTGGTGTCTGATCCAATGCAACAGTCTTAGCCTCTTTCATCTCAATGTCACCCTTTGCACAGTACAATTCCTCTACCTTAACAATCTCCGTGTTAGGTGCATCTTCACTACCCTGTTCAAGCGTATTATTGCTGTCAGCATTAATGTCTCCCGATGAACTGCAAGGTGATTTTGCAGGTAATTCTGTGATTTCTGATTGTACAGTTTCACCACCAGATACATGATTCTCATTCATAACAGGTTTTCGCTCCTTTGGACTCTCTACTTGATTGACATTGACAAGAGTGGGAGCATCAGCCTTCAGGCGTTTTGCTGGACGCTTGCCAGAAGATTCATCTGAAATAGGTGAAGTTGGCTTTGATACTGTGCTATTTGATGTCTGTTCAGATCTCTCAACAATTTCTCTCTCAGGGTCACAAGGATCACAATCACACATGAAGCACTGATACTGAGCATTGGGTGTGCTTAAATTTGAGTATATCTCCCTGCACGAATCTCTAGAGTCCAAGGCGCGCCAATAGTTTTCTTTCATTTCCATGAATGTGTCAGGTCCACATTCTTCTTTGAAATAGATTTCATTGCTTTGAGTTGTCCTATTTGAGTGAACTGCCTTCTCTGCTGGGTGGCTCCATGCACCATCTAACTCTTTCTCATATTCTCTGTATTGTTGAAACAATTGTCCTTCGCCGGTAAAGAGTTTTTGCCCACTTGCTTTAGAGATAGAGTCCATTGATGATCTTATCATTGCACCCGAACTTATGGTTGGATCACACACGGCTGATAAAGGACTGGAACTCCCAGACATAGACGGTTGTGGACTATCAACACGATAAGCATCCCTGGCAAAATTTGCTCATACCATTTTAATGAGATGACCAAACCAAATTTGTGAAGTACAAATGGTCATTTCTAATCAAATATGTAAGGCAAGGGATGTGAAACAATTTACCTGGAAAATGGTCCTTTAAATAGCCATTTTGCAATCCAGCACTATCAATCCCACCAAGGCCTGAAATACAGTTAGGAAGTCCTGACACAGATGGAGCAACTACGGTGCTCATAAAGCTTTCAGGCCTTTCAACTAGAGCTAAATTAGCAGCGGCCATGTTGTGATTCTGTGGTACATATCCTGCCAAAATATAGCCAACGAATAATGATAAATTTAAAGGTATGTTGAGAGATAAAAGTAGAGCTCATAATCCCAACTTACTCTGAGAAGTGAACACAGTATGTGGAGGTACATCTCCTGAATGTGCAGGCAAATTTGTAAAAGCAGGGGCAACTCTAGTATGATAGACACTAGAGTCTGTCATCTGTATCCCAGGCAGCTGCCGCAAATCTTTTGTTGATGGAACTGCTGAAGATATCCATGGATCTCTTTGGTTTCTATACGGAAAAGATCTGAGCAAATCATTCACCCTGCCCTCTACTGTGTCAAGATCCATGTAACAATGGAGCTGATATAGAAAATGGGTAGATGTTAGAAAGGCATCATAAACTATTAAGATATTTAGTTATTGAGTTAAGTAACTAAGATATGCAACAGAAAAAAAAAGGACACAAGGTACAACAATAGCTAAATTATTATCACTCATGGGTCAAACATGCACTGTTCTTTTTAAGGTACAATAGTCAAGGGTATTACCGTAATCTCCTAGTCTAGGGTTTCCCTCTTATGTCTCTCATGTACTCTATATATAGTCGCCATTGGGCCTCAATACTATCATCCAATTAAGTCTCCCTTATTTGTAACATGGTATTGCAGCTCTAAGTTTTAGATCCAGCCACCATCCTCGTCTCCACTGCGCTACGCCTGGGAGGATCATCTCTACTCCCAGGGGCAGCTTTGTAGATTTTTTTAGGATGTAATTCAAGAGCAAGATTTTCAGACCTAAATAAAAGATACTAGCGTGCTATATAATGTATTGATTGTGGTTGCATGGCAGAATGAAAGAACACACCTGTGGAGCATTTTTGTAGAGCATGTTGTCAATGATTCTTGAAGCTTTCAGACATGAATCTGGGCACAAGTTACAAAATTCTTCCATGTTTCTCAGGCATGCTTCACTGGATAGATAGAAGAAAAGAAACATCAGAATATACAATGTGAAAAAGGAAACAAAGGCAAAAGGAAAGAAAAGAATGAATCCACTATCTCCATTTAAACCACTCTTTAGTATTCCTGAAGAAATTTCAAACCACTGGCTTATGCAGGAAAAGGTGTATACTAAAGATAGATAAAAATGAACTTGTACTCAAAATGGGAAGCATATATATAACTAAAAAATTGTTTATATGGGCTGGGAAACAAGTAAATAAAATTGAATAAAAACAAGTAAAATCTGCACCTAGATGCTCATGAATACAGTGCAACACCATATACTGAGGTATAAGACTAACTATGCTGTATCAACAAAATACAAATAAAATGAAGAATTCAGCCTTGTAAGATGTAACAATTCAATATGAAAGCATTATAGACAAGTAATGGCGCAGGCTACCTAGGTGAATACAGGGGAATACACAGAAACAAAGTTCTTAGTTGTAACTATCAGATATTTTCATACTTTTTTTTTTTTTTTTGCAGAATTGTGTGCCCACATGAGAAAATGCACCATACGATCTTCTGGAGCTACACAAAGAATGGATGATTCTGATAATAGGTAAGTACAAATTGAGAATATTGGTCGTGTATTTTAAGTGGGGAATGGGATTGCCAAATTTTAATCGTACGGCCAACAATACATTCATGTGAATAAATGAACTCACTGCATTTACGTTCATGGAACCATAGAACAATGCAAGCCTACGTATAGACAAATATGAACATCAATATATTAGCAAGCATGAAGATCAACATTCCAATAACTAAAATGCAGTGAGGTAGCTGGGTGAACTGCTAGCATGTATCAGTAGTAACATGATTTCTTGCTCACAACAAGCGCACAGCCGCAGATACTAACAGCAACAACAAATTTGCAAGTCAAAACTAGTATCGATGCTGGTAGTTTCCAAACTTACATTTTTTGAATAATGATGGCACGAATCGGAGAGGTATCCTGGTTCATGTTATCCAGATGAAGCATTTCAAGATCCTCCAGCGACATCTGTTGCTGGATAGGAAAGCTGCTTGGTGTGTAGGCCATAACTTTCCCTTGCAGGGTTTGAGTCATCATGCTTGTGGCATTCACCTGAAATGCAGATTATTACCAAGTCATCAAGAGCTCGACAAGCAGCTGCAAGCACAAGATGACGATATACCACTAATGCAAAGCACAGCAGCACACAGGAAGCCATACTAGAAATAGAATGTATACAGTCACCGTAATGCAGGATGAGGACAAGTCACAGGTCAATATATCGCTAACGCAAAGCAAAGCATCACAAAAGAAGTCATATACTAGAATTAGAAAAAGAAAGTACAGTCACTGGGAAGCAATGCGCCTAAAAAGGTAAACAACTTTTAAACGGAAGAAGAGCATAAAGACCGACAGTTATCTGAGCACACGCTAACGCTAAAAATATATCCCACATTTTGGAGTAGAAGAATACGAAACGCACCAGTAACCGACGCCCACATTGATTCTTTTTAGTCGTATATGGCTCAGGTACTAGACATTGTCACCAGACTGGCCAAACAGGAAGCCGCAAGTGTAACAGCACGATTACTAACAAAGCGACAACATAAGGATTGCATGCTGCATTCATCACTAAACCCCAATTCTACTGCTAAAGACATCATTCTTTTATTTTCTTTTTTATACTAGTCATCAAAGGATATCAGAAATTAAAATAATTAATTAATAATTAAAAGACTAAAAACCACACTACAGGGTCAGACGAAGCACGCAGGGCAAGAGCACGAGGCATACAACGCGACCACACGCCCAACGAGAAAAAAAAACTGAAGAACCCAGGAAAACCCTAACCCTAGGGGGGAGCCGTACGTCGCCGGGACTCCTGCAGCGAGTGCCAGCAGATCGGATCTGACCGAGCCCTACGTGGGACGGAGGGCGGGGGCGTTACCTAAATCTCCCCTGCGGCGATACAGCCGCGGGGGAAGTCGTCTCCGGGGTCGGCGGGGGGGCGGTCAGGGGCTCCGGGCGCTCCTGGCCTCGCCGGCGGCAAGGCTAGGGTTAGGGTTTGGGCGGCGGCGCGGGACGGGAAGGAGGCGGTCAGACGGACGGGGACGATGCGAAGGGAAAGCGGAAATAAGTCAAGGCCGTGGGGGCCATTCCGCGGGTCCAGCTCGGATCAGACCCGACTTGGAGAGTCGTTTGCTAGACGATTGATGTGCATGTGAGAGAACGGGTTCGTTAATTAAGGGTGGGGGCAGAAAAACGATCCGGAGCCGGGCTCGTTGTCCTGTTGGGCTACGGGTTGGGGCGGCACGTGGGCTTGCGGACTCGGAAGCAGGCCCATGAGAAGAAGATGCTGGCGGCCCATGGATCTATTCGGGCATCCGGCCCGGCATCTCCGCGGCGCGGATCCAATCTGTTCTCCGCTGCTGGTCATGGGCTTGGCTGGCTGCCGAGATGCTTCGGGAAGAAGGCGACGGCGGACGGCCGGCCGGAACGAACGAGGCGGAGGGACGGCACGCCCCCTGCACACGGCGGCTACAGCTGGTAGCATCACCATCACCCACCGTATTAGAAATTTAGAATTCGCCGCGCCGCGCCACAGCAGACGTCTACGTTGTTGCGATGGCGACGGCGGACCGGAGCTGGAAGGTTTATCAGCAGCGAGCGAGGTTACTCACGCACGCGCTTCCTCCCCTTTGGAAGGGTCGCCGGTCGCCGGCACGGGGCCAGCCGGGAAGCACACGGTGACACCGACACGGCGACACGTCGTCGCGATAAGAACGACGAGGACGAGGGCCGCGGCATCCGGCATGGCACGCCGCACGCACGCGCCTGAGCCCTCACAGGCTCGCAGCTGACGAGTCGGGCTCGGTCCGACAGCGACCCGGCGAGCTGAGGGGAAACCGCGGGCACGGCGGGGCGGCGCGCGCGGGCGCGCCAACAGTTTCGCGGCCGCTGTCTAGAAGGCCTGATCCGTTCGGGCGCGCGGCATCTATATAAGCACAGGCCACCAAGGACCCCCGACAGACACGGCAACCAACAGCTCATCCACATCCAGGCCTTGTTTCTCTCACACACACTGTCACCCGCACAGCACATAGTCCCACACCACACCAACTGAATTCAGCTCAGATCAGCTCTGCTCTGCGTCGGATCCAAGCAAGCAAAGCATCTCCATGGCTTCGACGACGGCGTCCAACCTGGCCGGCGCGTGGTTCGGCGAGCTCGCGTCGGCGCTGCAGGGGACGTGGCAGGCGGTGGCCGCCACCGGCGAGGACCCGCGCCAGCTCCAGCAGCAGAAGCCGGCACGAGGCGACAGCAACAAGGCGGTGCGAGGAGCCGCGGCGGCCGTCGGGAGGGACAAGCAGGGAGGGGACGTCGCGAGGTGCGGCGGCGCCATGTCCGACACCACGCTCTACCTGCTGCTCGACCGGTTCTCGCCCAACTGAGCAGCTGAGCTGACCCCTTGGTCGCCCGTCGGTCGTGTCCGTCGTCGGCGCGCGCTGTACTGTACAGGCGGAATAACTGCGCGCCATGGTTTTGTGTAAAGGCTGTAAATTGCAATGCCATGTTTCTGATTGCTCACTTCCCCGTTCTATGAGACCATGAGCAAAGGCACGAAGTTTCAGTGTGAACTGGACATGCACGCGGAGCGATGTACCAGTCAGAGGTGAAGTTCTGTCAGTTGCCTAAAATGCAATTCGAATTTTTACAGTTTACGGAACCCAAAACATTATAAAACATAACATCCACAGAAATTCAAATCCGAAATCAATGCTCAATTTCGAGGAACAATCTGCTAGAACACTAGGTCGCGTTCGCTGACAAATCGGCCGGCCTTGTTATGTACGTCCGTCGAAGTTTTAGCTGTTCTTTTTGTGGGGAAGTGGTCGATGATTTCATGTTCTATTTAACGAGGTCTTTCTGAAATTTTCATAACCATCTGCATCGTCGTACCCAGGCCCACAATTGAAGATGACGCATCTCAATAATGGATATCTCCCAGCAAAAGTGGGCCTGGGAGATATCTCAACAGATGCGTCTACCTTCTCGCTTCTCCAGAGGCAAAAGTGCAAATATCTCTCCCAGCAAAATATCTCAGCAATGGGCAATGCATCCTCCCAGTCCCATGGTATGGTCACTGATGACGAACCAGACAATATATCACAAATAACAACCATACAAGCCGATGATCTGGGACTTCAATTTGCGCCAGCCTAATGCATCAAATGCAAGCAACTCATAATACAATTTACAAGAATCAGAACGGGCCGGGTCTTCCCACGCCTCATCATTCTACTTGCAAATAACTAAACAGCCATACAAGCCGATGATCAGCTACGATCAAATACGAACAAAAGGAATGGGGGTACCACAACTCTAAGAAGGGGTGCTGGGGAGGAAATGCACAAATATTTACATCTCTTCTTCTGCACACAGCAAAGGCGGGGTGTCAAAGTCAGTGAGTGAAGGAGCTTGGCTCCTCGCTGTAGACCGTCTCGCTGGCACCGAACACGGGCTTCTCTTCCTCCCACTTGACGATCTCCCTCCCGTAGCGGATCGCCGACCGGACCGACTCCTGGTCCAGGGCGTTCAAGTAGGACACGTAGAGCTTCCGGTCAGTCAGGGACTGGAACAGCCTCTTGAACTTCGTCGCCATGTAGTGTGCGGCCATCTGGGACAGCGTCGCGCCGGTGCTGGTGCGCGTGGGCTTGCTGCTGCCGCCGTTGAGAAGGTTGCGGCTGATCAGAGGAGTGAAGTCATCGAACCAGTCGCATGAGGTCAGTGGGGAATTGTTGATCTTCTGCTCCAGGAGATCAAACTTGGTGAGGAGTAGAAGGAAATCCATTTGTTCAAATGTTGGATGAAGAACAATGCTCTCAAAAAGCTGCCTGCTCTCTACCATCTTGTTGACAATGGTGCCATTTGCATCTTCGTAGTACTCATCATAGTCGCTAGCGGCAACACAAAAGATAACAAGCCTCACATCATCGAACATTTGCAGCCATTTGCAGTTCTCATGCAAACCTCTACTGTTTATTCTGATCAACTGGTACCTGAAAACAAATGAAAATGTCCCCTCATCATTATTACACCTATTACAGTTGAGATCCCAATAGCAATAAAGAATTGAACCTAGAATATAAGTATAAGTGAAGCATAATAAACATGCATGTGAGGTTTAATTGGTTCTACATGAACATACCTCGTGCCCATACATCAAAAAGAAAAAAAAAACTGATCTTATTCACATTTTTACAGATTTACAAAAAGTGTCTAGTCAAGATAATACCGGACAACACAATATAACAAACCTCAAGACTCAGTGAGACAGGTAATAGCAGACTACCATTGTCTTATGTGACAGATCCAGAAGAACTAACCTTAGCAAGGTGTCTTGTGCATCGGGCTCATCAACACCCAGTCCACCCAAAGACAGCTGAGGGAAAGAGAATTCAGTTGATGCTAATCCATCTGAGGATGTAATCCCATCAGCATACAGTATATCCATATCTGAGAGCTCATATTCCATTCGAGATATATCAACAGCCTGGTCATTTCAGACAAACGGTTAAAAAAATGAACAATCGCAATTCGCACTATGCAAATCAACACTTCCAACTCTACAAAACCAAAGAAAAAAAAAAGGACTGCCATTAGCCAATAATACCTTGTCAAGAAAATAATTGGCAGCAGGTGGAAGGAATGGCAGTTCAGTTCTTCTTCTATATGTAGCTTGAATAGCTGGATCTTTCCATAGTTCCTCAACAAGTGGTGCATATTCACGGCTTGCTGCAGGAAAGATGTCTTCAAGATTACCTAAAGCCATTGCTTTAAGAATCCAATCCGAGAATGCTTTCAAGCGTGGAATAAGGGAGTACTCAGTGACTTCATCACATACTCCAGATTCACAACAGCCTGCAGAAAAACAAAAAAGGAAAAAATCACTTGTAGTAGGCATATTACAAATATAGGAACGTTTCCTTTTTGTACATTGTTTTACAAAAAAAAAAAAAAGGAGTGCCCTGGAACACTTGGCATTTCAATTACTCACTACTCAGTTATGCCGAAAAGAAGGGCAAAAGGAAAGAATGGAAGTTGTAAAACTTCCATGAAGATTTGGTCATACCAGAGCTAGAAGGGTCACATGGACTGATTTTTCTTCTATCAGCTAAAGATTCCTCTTCAAACCGCTCACGGCCTTCAAGTAATATGCCAAGGTAGTTGTATATGTTGCTTTGTATGATAAGTTTCAGATCTTCACGCTCATCCACCGAAAATGGCTTGCCGCTCTTGTACAAGAACTTGGCCTGATGTATTCAATAGATTCAAAATCAATTTCCATACAACTTTGCGAATTTGTGGGGGTGCAGGATATTCTATCACTATACATGTACAAACTGCAAATTATATCTTGGGTGGTAATCTTACTACAGCCGACCGATTTAGTTATTTGTGCACATGAATATGCTAGATGTCCATAAGCATACGTACCTGCTTGAGTATGGTGCTTGCCCCTGACCCAACCAACAAAAGCTTCTGGGTTGTTCTTTGTTCCAGGTAGTCAGGGATGACTCGATTTACTATGTTAACAGCATCTTCGCTAGATTGATTAGCTGCTTTGTTGGGTGTTGGCAATGACAGAACAGGACTAAGAAGCTTCACTATAGGCTGGTGAGAAATGCAGACAAATTCAAAGCTGGTTAGTTACCAACCTAAAAATTACAACACCATCTAGACAAGAAGAATCTCAGGGTTACCTTATCCCAGATCTTTCCTTTAACAGTTTTTTGGCCTTCCTCTTGGTAAGTCCCATCAGCATTCACCCAAAAGTGAGGTTTCCCAGCACATTGGACTCCTGCCAACTGAAATCAAACATTTATTTTGAAGTTTTTATTAAAAAAAATACAGATAGCAACATATGTCAAGAACTAGTAGTAGAGGGATGAAGCCGGATTTTTCTCCATTATCTAAAAAAAAACATATGAATATACGATTCCAAACCTTAAGCATTTGCAATTCAGATTTTGTAATCTCTCGCCCATTAATCAATATTCCGGTGTTCCCGTTGCTTGCTTTTTGATCTAGAGAACCTCCAACATTTAGATTTGCAGTGATTATGCAATGTGGTTTGTGTCCCTCCTGGAATATTTTCAGTGAAAAGTTTGTCAGAGTTATCGGTGATAAATTATTATACGTTTGTAAGAAACAAGCAAAAATTCATAATTACACCACTGAGTTATTGAGCTATTATGAAATTGCATAAAAAGGACCAAAAAAATCAGAATTCCTATTGAATCCTTCCCCAAAACAGAAGCCTACCTAAACCACAGCACGATATGCCAAAATCATGGTCTATATATCATGACTAAATTGCTGGCATGCCAACTTGGGTGTGCAATCTTTTCTGAGCAGTGTAATCAAAATTATCAGATTCTCCTGATTTAGACAGAACACAATACATTATCATTCCTAGGACAAGGAGAGATCATGTGGACCATCATACAACATGCCTGACGGTGCTGATTCATCAAAGTTCCATCAAGTCAACTAAATATTCCAGCAGATTATGTTCAACAGCACCATGCGCCCAGTGTTCCAGATATACATCATGATTCTAACTAATAATACTATAGATATAGTGAACTGCAACTATAAAAAATCACATAAATTGTCCTTCAAAGAGTTTACCCGACATAATACTTAGCAATCCTCACTTCATGTTTGCACATTGACTGGTGTAATATCCCTACTTCTACTAAATGTCCTTCAAAGAGTTTACCCGACAGAATACTTTGCAATCCTCACTTCATGTTTGCACATTGACTGGTGTAACATCCCTACTTCTACTAAATGGACACGAATCACAACCAGTTTAGTTATAGAGTGTTTGCTGTTGCATCAAACAGATAGAGGTTACCCAGGAGCACAGGAAAATTAAGATCGTCACAAGCCACATACCTTTCCCCAGAAACCAGACACCTTATCGTACCAATAGAACCCCGGCCGGAGCCTCGACGGCGGGCACGGGCACCCCTGCAGCACCACGAGCTCCTCAGGCGACAGCTTGGTGCCGTTGACGTACACGTCCTCCGCCCGCAGCTGGTTCGCGGCGCACTCCCGCTCGCTCCTCATGACCAGCTCCACCTCCGCCGCGCTGAGAAGCCGGCGCAGCACGCGCGACCCTCGCCCCAGCGCGTCCCGCCTGGACTCGGCCACTGGCCGGCCGATGCACTCCAGGCACTTGCGCCCCTCGGGCATGGAGCCCATCGCCCGGAGCACGCACCCGACGCAGTACCGCGCACCGCAGGCGAGGCACGACTCCTTGTCGCGGCCCCAGAAGCCGCCTCCTTTCCCGCACCTGTAGCAGCCACGGGTCCTGCCGCCCCTCCAGTGAGCGGGGGAGAGGGAGCCGCTCGACTGGCCGGCAGCAGCGCGGGGCCGGGCGTCCCCTGCGTCGGCACCGTCGTCGTCCTCCTCCTCATACACGTCCTCGTCGTCAGAGGACTGGAGGAGGGAGCCGCTGGTCTCGGCGAAGGTGACCGCGGGCTGGTGGTGGCGGGGCTTCAGCGGCAGCGCCTCGGGGCCGCCGCCGTCGCCGGCGCCGGTGCCCTCGTCGTCGGAGGGGGAAGAGGGGAGCTCGGCGGAGTGGTGCGCGGCAGCGTGGTGGTTCTCGATGACGGAGGTGGGGGAATCCACCACAGCTCCTCCCGCGGCGGGCGCGGGGGCGGCGGAGCGGGGCGCCGGGTGGGCGTGCGCGTGGATGGCGGAGCAGAGTGAGGACGGGGTGAGCGGGCGAACGACGGGGAGCGGGGACGAGGAGGCGGAGGGGGAGGCCGGGGGCGAAGAGGACAGCGCCGCGAGCGGGATGCGGGAGAGGTCGAGCGGGATGGCGCGCGGGAGCGAGTAGGGGAGCGGCGGGCCGTCGTACTCCGCCGCGAAAGAGTAGTCGCTGGCGCTGGCGCTGGCGCTGGCGCCAGCGGCCATGGCCGGAAAACGGCTGCAGCGGCGAGGAGAGCAGTGAGGAAGAGGAGGCGGCGGCGGCGGCTAGGTTTTCGGGAGAGGCATCGGGGTGGGAAACCCTAGGCGAGGAGGGGAAAGCAGGAGAGGGGAGGAGGAGTAGCTTTTTGGAGCATGCGCGAGGGAGGAGACGAGCGAGACGAAAGGGTGGGGAGGAGAGGCAGGTGGTGAGGTGGAGAAGGCGAGTGCTTTCGCCTGTGAGAACTGTGAGCCGGGTCCGTGGACCGGTATACCAGTTCTGCCTGCCGCGTCTATATTTTCTTTCTTCTTCAACAAGAGATGCTCAGGTTTCAATTGGTGCCTGCAATAATTTTTTACTGGTATTTATAGAATATATACGTGAAATTATTTCTAACAAGTCCACGACAACCAACGACGAAGGCGGACACAGCGAAGACGACAACTAAACCAGCACTATCGTTTGGGTTTGGATCGCTGAAGATATGATTTTAGGTTACATGTTGCATGTCTTCTCTCCCGTGCAAAAGCACTTTAGGTTACATAGGTTTAAAAGGGTCGAGGAATTACAAGTGAACCAGCAAAACCACATTCACTAGGAGGTAGGAAGAATGTAAAGAATGCCCATAGCCAGAGTCAGAAGAGGACAATACTATTGATTATGGAAACAGACATAGGGTGGCTTGTTGCGGCTACACCAACCGTTGAACACAACTGAGGCTGAGGCCACACATAGCGTGGCTTGTTTGCAGGAGAGTGTGGTGCCGCGCATCGTTTTGCTGGTTCACTTGTAATCCCTCAGCCCTCCCAAACCTACGTAACCTAAAGTGCTTTTGCGCGGGAGAGAGGACATGCAACGTTTAACGTAAAATCCTATCTTCAACCGAGCTGTTCGGCTGTAAAGCTATTATTTACCAACTTATGACGCTGGGTTGCTTCTTTATCTACTAACATCTATGACATAGCCAGAAAGAGGCTACCAGGTCCCTTGTGTTTTAAACATTTACATTAGGGAGGTATAGTTTGAATTCAAATAATAGCTTCTTTATCTACTAACATAAATGGCATGATAGATTGAGCGATAACCATGCACGTGGATGAACCTTGCCAACACACAACGTTAGAACTCATTGCATGCTTCCCTTTGGGAAAAGGTAGGTAGTGCCTAACCATTTTAGAGCCACCGAGCACTGATTTTTTTTGTTGGGCTCGGATTGGTCCGTTTTGCACCTCTCCCAGCCAACTTTGGTGAAGTATTTAGCGGGGTAGGGTTCGAGTTTCAGATTTTGGGCGTAGAGTTTATGTGCTAAGGAGTGACAATGACTATAAAGATAAGGTGGTCGATGGTAGGCTACCCTAAACAAAGGTGGTGGGCATAATGCGGGGTAGCAGGGCGGTGGTCGAGGCCCACTGAGCGGGGTAGGGGAAATGACACCTTGAGTCGACAAGTCGGTAAGTCATATATATATAGTAGAATGGAACGAGATGAGGGTGATAGCGCAATAAAGAAGTATAAAAACAAAATCTGGGAGGTTTAGACTCACCTAGGGTCGGAGGTCACATGGTTCAAGGCATCACTCAACGAGCCAAGTCAAGAGGAAGGAGTTCAATGCCAGGGGCAAATCCACCTATCCGGTGACGCGATGACGGCGGCCATACCCGCTTCCTAGCAAAACCCTCTATGATATATATGTCTTGTTCGCTTGTCTTCTAATCCGTACTTTTCAGCTTGCTTTTCAGCCGGAACAATGTTTTTCTCTCACAACAAATCAGTCGGAACAGTATTTCGGCTTTTTTTTCAGCGATGCGAACGGGCCATATAGTATTGTCTCATACATTCTTCGCTAGGAACGAATAAATTAGGAAGCCAAATTAAGCAACCCCGGGTGGATCATGCGGTCCACTATAAAACGATGATGAGGTTGTTCTGTTTGCGTGTGGCTAGGCCACGCCTTTGCCTGGACTATTCGATTATCGACTGCTCCACAGTCTAACAACACGCATGCAGCCGTGAACCAAGCCAACAGGAAGAGAGAAAAGGCCATTCATTAATCAGTTATGGCATTGTGAATTTGGAATAGATCAAATTTGCCTTGAACTAATGTTTTTTTTTTGATAATTCCTCGTTTGAAATGAAGAAGACTCCCAAACTTTGATGCACTTCCAAAGTCCATTGCCTGCAACGACGAGCTCAACCCTTGTTTAGTTGAGGGAAAATCACGAGATTTAATCTTTTGAATCTAGTCACTTTCGCTTTTATTTGGTAATTAGTGTTCAATCGAACGTCTAATTAGGCTCAAAACGATTGCAAAAAATTTGCAATTTCCCACCAAACCCCTGTAATTAGTTTTTTTTTTTGATACATTTAATCGTTTGAAATGAAGAAGACTGACCAAACTTTGATGCACTTTTGGGTCCTTTTTTGCAACGACACGGGCTCAGTAAAGAACATACTCCACGCTATAATTACATTGGGGGCCATAAGATTATTCATCACAATTCAGAACACAACAAAATGTTGAATGTTCTGTCAGCAGGCATGGTGGTTGCCATTTTCACATGAGCCCCCTCCTTACGACGCACAAGGTAAGGAATCATCTGAGACCGTACGTAGAGCTGGTCCATGTTCATCGCTTGTTGGTCCGTCCCGCCTCGTACGGTTTGAACGCGCTGAAACTTTAGGCAAAGCTGATATTAAAATCAGTAGATAATATAATCGCATCTGCATCCTCCGGTCCGGTGTGGCTTTTTTGGTTGAGAGATGTCAGAGGCAGAGAGGCGGCAGCAGCCCAGGTGCGCTTTTTCCGCTTTTGAGCCTCGAAATGGAGGGAGCCCCGGCGTTTTTTTAAAAAATAAACAAAACCCCGGAGAAGCGGCTGCGGACCTGCGGTGCACGATCTCGTGATCCGTTCTTGGGTCGCCTCGGCCCATGGACCGGGTCCACCACACCGCGAGGCGGGAGGGACGACGAACCGGTCGCTCCGGAGAAGCCGAGCGCCCGAGCACGCGAGTGGGCAGGGAGCAGTGGAGAGCACCGGGTACGGAGACGGATCGGAATTGACCGGCGGGGCCCACCCCGTGCCGGGGAGCGAATCGAATCTGAGGCCCCGTGTGGTCCCCGCCCGTGGGGACCGAGCGAGCACGCCCCCTGGACCGGGCTGGACCGAGCCAGGCCACCGACAAGCGGGCCAGCCTGGCGGTGATGCGACGGGGCCCCGGCCACGCAGGAGGAGGCACGCGGCGCGCACGGGATTTTTCCTTGCCGTGCTGCTTGTCGCTGGACTGGTCGACTGGGACTGTGGGGCGCCGCCGGACCAGAACCAGATGCGGGCTCGGTAGTAGTAGGCTGGTAGACGCGGCGTGGCTGGCTGTCCTTCTAGACGTGCGGTGCCGGTGGGGGCCGCGGACCTGGGCGAGTCACGGGGCGGAAGCAAGGAAGAAACAGAAGAGCGGACCGGGCGGGAGACGGATCGTGCTCGTGGATTGGATGGGACGGCTGCGCCGAGAGGGATGTCTGTCTTGTGGGCCCGGCCGCGGGATGGATAACGGGGGTTGCTGGGCTGTGTACGAGTAGTACGTGGGTCCATCCTGGTCGGGGCCCGGGTACGCCGTCTGGGGTCCAAGAAATTTTGATAAGAGATTTAGGAGGATTTCTAGTGATTTCAGGGGCTTTCTTTTTACTGTATAGGACACACGAAAAAGACGATACTACCCTCCCTCATTTTCACAAGTCGCTGCTGGAATTCCACCCTCCCTATCGCGACAGGTCCGTGACGTAGATCCGGATGGATGAAGATAACAAAAATCATTGGATGCACCCTATTACTACTTCTAGATCTATTACTCTTGGTTTTCGCGTTTCTTTTCCCAACAAAGACTTTATTTGTTTTTGCTTATAATCAATTTGTTTATAATTACCGTATCGTAGGAATTTTTTTATTCTCGATTTCGATTGTGCTAGTTTAAAGTTTTGATATGGCTAGAAGAATGAAAAAAAATCAAAACATTTAGTGGGATTTTCGTTTTCTCTAACCAATAATCTTATTATACAAGCACAAACAAACAAGGCCACAAATGGCATCTCTCACGCGCACACACGTGACTTTTTTTCTCATGGACTGAAAACAAGTTGTTTGGATCATGGGCTTCAGCTATCTTGATCTCAGCGCTAGCAAGATTATCCTTCATGCACCAAGAGAGCCAAATCGGCTCTCCCCAAGCATCTCGTGGCTTGCATCATCTAGACGAGGCAAAGCAAGGGAATCATGACCAAAGTTCCAATCATGTCCTCAATCTCTGTGCTTCCATGCACCACGTCCTTCTCTTTTGCCCAAGCTACAAGTTCCTCTCTGTAGACTGCCCTGTTTTCTTTCTTCTCTTCTCCATGTAGGGTTTAAGGCTACCTAAGTGTGTGTTTGGTTGTGAGGCAATGTGGGATGAGATGGTTCTATCCCCTATTTTGGGGGGACGAAACGTCCTTATTCCGTGTTTGGTTGCATGGGAGATGGGATCGTCCCTGTCCCATGTTTAGTCCCGATTATCGTTCACTTGTCACTCACTGCCCTCTCATTTTTTAGGGATGGGGCCGTCCTCCGTATTAAGAAATATTATGTGGATATTTTTCAAAGAGTATGAACCCTATCCCAGTTGTCTCAAAACCAAACACTATATAAAAAAGGATCATCCCATCCCATCCTCTTCATCCCCACCCAAGCCAAACACACAATAAACTACTATCCAGCTTAGGAGCGTTGGTGGAGCCCTAAAAGGACACGCTACACGATGCTCATGGCTACTAACTATTCGTACTAGTCAGTTGGGAATGAGTGAAATAAAAAGGCTTTCCATCTTCTCCTTATACCACCACCTCATACCAACGTGCAATTAAGACCTGTTTAGATGCATAGAGCTAATTGTTAGCCATTTATTTTTTTAGTTCTAGCTTATCCATACATGATCCTAATAGGTAGACTAATTTTTTAGTTAGACCTTAGATTAGTTATTAGGCA